ATGATGACGTGGAGAGAAGGAGCAGTTGGTGACTTTAGATAGAGAGAGGTAGAGGGGCTGTGTGCTGATGACTGGGGGACAGGCTTATAGTGCATACCTTGGTTGGTTGATGATACATGGCGGGGATTGTAATCATGGCAATGAAACAATATACGATAGGATGAATGTAAAACGAATGTTCTCCCATGTAAACTATCACATAACTCACAATAAAACATTGAAAACAAAAACAAAAACAAATTGGAGGGCAGATCAATGCATTTCATTGACAGTTTTAAATGCCACATCTATTCAATCTAAAGAAACTTCTCATTTGTCCAGGTCTAGTGACATACCAAAGAATATTATTCACAATGTCCTCAAAAGGTTATTAAAATATTTCTTCTTTCCCCAACCACCTCCCTTTGAGAGGCTACGTTTTCTTCTTATATTTCAATCAAAATGACATCACTACAGACTGACTAGAGAAGCATACATAAATACCCAGTTTTTTCTATTAAGCCTGATTATTTAAAAGATTTTTAAAACTATAAAATAGTGCCACTCTTCTCACTAAATTTTTTTTTCCTCATTACATTTCTTAATAATTTTATTTTTGCTGTTGTCATTCACACTAAATTTTTTTGGCTTGGGAATATATATTTATTTTCATAAAACATATTCTTTATGTTAACATATAAAGAGTTCATAAGCATTTTTCAATGACTAAGTAAATAATTTTAAAATTCTGTTCTCATTTTCAATAGATTAAATGTTGGCAACCCAGATAACTAAAAGTTTTTGAGGTCCTTGATAATTTTCAAGAATGTAGAGAAACCCTAAGATCAAAATGTTTAAGTTACTATTCTAAATAGTTCGCCAAACTTGAGCTTGTCTTGTCTATTCACAGGAAGACAGTACTTAGATCCAAACCTACAATATAAAATTTTGGTTACTAGTTGGGCTGCTAATTTCAGTCAGCAATATGAAACTACCAGCCATTCCGTGGGAAAAAGATTTTTGCTCCCGTAAAGATTTTCGGCCTTGGAAACCCTATACAGCGTCGCTGTGAGTTAGAATTGACTCGACGACATATAATCATCACCAAGAAGGCTAGGCAACGGATTAAGGATTAAGGAGGATCCTCAGAGGTAGAGTTAGCCTTGCAATAGCTCATCATAAGAGTACCAGATGAGTTCAAGAAAGGCAAGCAAAAGTCTGCATGTCTGTATGGGGTCCCCACCCAGTCTCCTCCCTCCTGGCCTTCTTCGGATGGCGGCTGTTTATGCTGGACGTGTGACCAGAGACGGGTAAGGATCACGTGGAACCTCGGCAACCTAAGACAGAGCCATTGCCATGCTGCAATGAGTTTCGATGACAGGTAAGACGGAGGAATTTGCACTGACCGCCTAAGACAGGCAGCGTCCCCTAAACAAATAATAAATAAGGGGGAAACGGAGGTAGACCATGCAGACCCTGCCAGGAGTTCAAGGCCCTGTGGGCCCAAGCGTTGCAGACCGTCCAAATCATAGGCTCTGAGGATCAGACTTTAGCCACCTAGCAGATATAGCAAACTGTTCCTCATCTGATTATTCAGTTATGCTTGTCAGTAATAGCGTACATGAGCCCTGGATATCCACAGATAAATGTAAAAACCTTCCCTAAAAGCCGAGACTGTGAATTCCAAAAAGGCAAAGTTTTTCTCCCAAAAAAAAAGGAGAAAAGTCAAAGAGGATAGGGAGAAAAACACTGTTGACTGATGATGTATGGAGGGGATTGTAATCAATGTAATGAAGCAAGTCATATGAATGGCTGAATGGGAAACTGATTATGTGCCCTGTAA